TATAAAGATGATTCTCAACTATGTTATGAAAGATATTTTTAAAAGCCATTTTTCTTTATGCAAAATGTGTGTAAAATGGCCATAAACTAGCTTTTCCATTATATACAATGTATCTTTAAACTGTATCTAATTAGCATATTAATGTGTTTTTGGGGAAACATAGAATGAACAAATAAGTGCAATAATGGGAGTAATAATTAGCAAGATTTTCATAATAATATTTAATAGGAATATTGATATAATTTTTTCTCTATTCATTTGTTGTGTCTCCCAAAATGTGTAATAAACATCCTTTAAGTCCTGGTGTCCTCTACAGTGGACATGTATGAAACTGATGTCCTGTTTCATAACAGAAGGTCATATTTTGGATTGAAACCCCATAACATTTTCCTGAGATGTTGATTTATGACAAACAATTTGTCAATTAGTCAGATTTAAATGACTAATATTAAAATATTTGTAATTACAAAATATTATCATATTTCCATTAGGGTGTTACATTTGATCATTAAATGAATGTCAGCCATTTTTAGTGGTCATGGTCAAACATCCAATCATTTGGTATCTCTGAAAAGCCCTGAATTTGCTCTGTACGTACAGGACATCCAGATTTAAAACTGTGACATATAACGTCTCAGAGAAATCGCTAAAACATAATGTCCTCTACAGTGGACAAAACTCCATAGCTGGTAGTCAGGAGGATATGATTCACTGAAGAAGGCTTGCTGCCCGAAACGTCTGATTGTTGTTTGTTCTGTTGCAAAATTAAAATAAATTGAAAGTGATTAAGATGATTAAACGAGTGCGGATCCCTTACTAGAATACGATGTTGCTGATTGATCTATGCACCCAAGAATAAAGTTGAGCGCAGTGAATTTTATTTTTTCATGAAATAACACCCAGAAAATTGTGCTTAATTGCAGAAAAAAAGATGTTTGGTAGTGACGTTTCTTAAAGTTACACACAGATTTTTAGACTTTTGAACACATTTACCTCAAAATGATGGGACCAATCTACTCACCATGTAGCCATGAGAGAGAGGGACACAGGAATAATTCCTGGTCATCAATTTAGGGGTGTAGTTAAAATCAGTCTCAGCCAATGGACTAAAACATACACTGTTTCGGTAGAGACATGAAAAAACAACAATGGAAAAAAATGCATAAATTATTTCAATATCATTTTCATAAGTTGAAATTTAGGGTTATGGTTCGGGACAGCCACCTCCCAATTGAAAGTACCCAATAAATTATCATTGTATATATATTAAGCTTACTGATATTTTAAATATTATTATGGGTTAGATAATAGAAGGATCTTAATAAACATCTAAGATTTGAAAATTTAAAAGCTTTCTTTAAATGTGTTTTTTGCGTGTGGGACAGCAGTTTGCTCCAATTCTGTAGAATGGCCCATATATATATATATATATATATATTGGATGTACATTTGTTTTTTTAACTGAGAAATTATTCATTCTGCCATTTAATGAGAATTCATAGACATATAATTACAGTAACCTTCAATTAGCACAGAATAATATTTCACTTCAGGTTTGCCAGAGAAGTGGGTCCAGGACAAGGGGAGAATCTATGTTTTCTCCAATGATACAAAGGACTGGAACAGCAGCAGACAACGCTGTCAGGATCTGGGTGGAGACCTGGTCATCATCAACAGCAGTGAGGAGCAGGTGCATATAGAGAAATATAATATTATTATATTACATTATTAAATGATTTGTGGTTTTGTTAAAGCTATATTGCTTTTAGTTTTAGTTAGTTTTTTTTTTTCTTTTTTCGCAAAGGTACTGTGGCTAGAATTTTTAGGGTTTGTTTTAAATGCAAGGTTGCAAAGGTCTAAAAGCTATGCAAACACTTTATCAGCCACATTGCAACACTCGGTTGCCCATTATATCAAACCTTGGATTGCATTGTACATACTAAATGATTAAAGTCATATTTCTGCCCTGTGACTTTTCAGGAATTTCTTGCTCAGCAAATAGTCACTTTTAATGCATTGGTGCTACACTGGATCGGTCTGACTGACCGCCAGACTGAGGGAGTATGGCTTTGGGTGGACAACACCCCCCTAAACAACAACGTCTCGTAAGTACCATTTTATTTCAACATCTGATGTGCTTAGCATTGCCTCTTTGTTAGTTGGCACAAGTTATCTAAGGACCATATGGATTTTTGATATGGGTTACTGCCCTGACACTTGTTTTGTCCTGTCAGATGGTGGATCTTCCCTCCAGACGATGATGATATGCATGATCCCATGGGTGAAGACTGTGCTGTAATAAATGGATATCTAAAAGGAGAAAAATGGGGAGATATTTCTTGCTTGAAAATGCAAAGAAGCATCTGTGAGGTTCCGTGTTCTTGATCAGTACTACAGTACCTACAATCTTAAAAATAAAGATTTCAAAAAGGGAGTTTTCAAAGTTATGTCATAGATAAACTACTGCTGGTCCTCCAAAGAACCTTTCAGTAAACCTTTTTTAAAAGAACCATTTTTAGTGTGAAGAATATTATAATATAATAATCTAAACAACCTTTTTCCACTGTAACGAACCTTTTGTGGAATGGAAAGTTTTGGATGTCAAAGGTTCTTTTGATACTTCATGACTTTCAATATCACTATTATATATAATAATATATTATATCATATATACAATACAGTGTAGAATCTGTGTAGCTCTTTATAAAGACTAGATTTACATTCTTTATTTTGTAATTGTTGTTAGCAGCATTGGCCACTTGTGCATATACAACATGAGGGAACAAATAAAAAGACATGAATCAATGGATTCAATGGAATCAATCAATGAATACATTGGATACAGCATTAAGTTAATGTGTGCTTATATGGTTATGCCGAATGTATCATATTATTTATACATTCTAAAGCCTCCATCCACCTTATTATGCATTGCGGAAGTAAGCTTCTGATTCATCAGCTGCTGTTATAAATAACTAGAAGAATAGCTAAGTGCAGTAAACAGTATATGCTACAAACCAGTGTGTTAATAGTTATGACAATAAATTAAAATAATATCAACATCAAATAGCAATATCAAACATCATAACGAGCGGATGAAAGCTTTATAGACCGCGCTCAGTCTAACCTTAAAATCAAGGTGGATAACATTCACATGATGTAGAGGCCCGTCTCCAGCTATAACTCTCAGAGTGGTTGAGACAGTTGAGGAGGTGGATGGTGGGTGCTTGCCAGGGTGGGCAAATGTTCATGATTGGGTGGCCCAGGCCCCCTGTGAATCTTGGTCTTATGATTGATACTTACCTGATTTTATAATTGATGTCTTCACCCTCAGACCATCCAAGTTGTAAATGAGTTTGTTTCTTCATCAGAACAGGTTTGGAGAAATTTACATTACGTCATTTACTCATCAATGAATACACTGCAGTGAATGGGTGCCGTCAGAATGAGAGTCCAAACAGCTGATAAAAGCTTCACAATAATCCACATGTAATCCGCACAACTCCAGTCCATCGGTTATGTCTTGTGAAGTGAAAAACTGCATGTTTGCGATTTAAAAAATTCATGATTAATACTTTTTTAACTTCAAACTGTTGCTAATAAAAGCTGATCAGCTGTTGGATTGTCATTTTGACGGTACCCATCCACTGCAGAGGATCCATTAGTGAGCAAGTGATGTGATGCTAAATTTCTCCAAATCCATACTGATGAGGAAACAAACTCATCTACATCTTGGGTGGCCTGAGGGTGAGCAAATTCTACTACTCCTTTAAGAAGTAGTAGGACTTTTACTACTAATACATGTCCATGTGACACGTCTTTTTGCTGGGAAATCTTTGCTGATTTTGAGAAAGTAACAGCAAGAAGAAGCACATTGTTATTAATACTTAAAAATGAATATTTACTGAACTAAAACATGCCAATTTTATATTTAATACATTATTTTTAAGAAAACAGAGTTATTTGAGGAAGACCTATGTTTATTGTAATAATCATTGATTGATTGATTGATCAATCGATCAGTCGTTTTTATTCCAACTCACACTAACAGGTACCAACAGAGTAAAATAAGAGTGCAAACACATTTAGCTACATTCTGTTTGTTTCCTCATTAAATTAAGAATGACATGATCCAGTCTGACATTTTTTTCTTTCAATGACCGAGCAGTCAGAACTAGCACAAGGCAGTAGTTGTCTATAAAAAAAATATTCTTCATCCCAACCTCTGGCTCAATTTACCCTGAAGCATCTGGTTCAACTCGACCTACAATCACCTTTTTGAAAAAAAAAAAAAAAGTCCCTCATACGTGCTATAACCCTGAACTAAATAACCGTACTGTGGTATAAGGTGACAAGTAACCTACATATTGTTGAATGTAGATTGTGTTTTAATGGAATGTTTGTCTAAAGGTCTGTGGTTGCTGCTGCCTTATCACCTTCACTTCTATTTGTGTGAAATGCGAACAGCAAGAAGCTCCCTTCCAGTTCAGTAAGAGAGGGACGATAAAGAAAGCCTTGCTTCTTTCCAATAGACTGCATCAGTATTAAATTAGAGTAATATCAGAGTTAAATTAGAGCAAAATTTCATCAATTAGGTAAAACCATAAACAGCAAGTGTTCAAGAAGCATTGACCACAGATAAAAATGTATCATTCACTGTTTGAGATGATGCCCCTAACAAGTAATAACAAACTGACAGGAAATGATGGCAGGAAATATCACTGCTAAAGTAGTTAAACCCCTTCAGTGAGAATACTTCACCAGATCCTCTCTTAATTTCTCACATATTTGCAAAAGATGCCTGAAGCTATTTATTCCAACACCATTCCAAGATCCATCTCAAGATCAACACATAAAGTTGAAAGTAAGTGCTATTTCACAGCTTTTTTCTTTTTTTTTTTGGTGAATTGTTTCAACATTTTCATTTCAGTTTTTAAATGTTATTTATTTTTATTTTAGATAGAAATTGTTTCATTGATCAGAGAGAAGCTATCTGTATGGTGCTTTTTCTCTCTGTTCTCCTCTTCCTGTCTCTGCTGGCTAATGCGGCGTTGGCTCACCTGTGTGAGTATCCTCATGTTTTACGTGTACACTTTATGTGGCAGTGTGTAGAACACATAATAATAACAATAATTATTATTATTATTATTGAAACAAACTGTATATTTTTTTTCTCACACGCCACTTGATTTAATTTGAGGGTCAGTCAGAATTTGTGTAAAATTGTTATATAATAATTTCCACATAACATTCACACTAGAATCTTGAAATGGTTTGTGTTTATTCCGCTGTTTGTTCAGATCATCCTGGATTTTTAAAAATATTATTTTCTGTTCATTTGGTGTCTAAATTGGGGGGAATGTCTCTAATTTGGTCTCAACTTTTCATCTCTCATATATTTTTATACAACGTATACAACAAATACAAAATGTAAGTTCAAAACAGAAGTCTTTTTAATTTGTATTACAGATTATAGCAATGGCCTAGACTGGCTAATAAGTTGTGAACCAGTAAAGAGCTGTTCAGATCAAGGTAGACAAACTCCTCATCATCTCCATTTACGTGACAATACAGATAGTAATACTCAATGTTCATTTAGAAGTTCATTTATAATTGTGTTTATTTCTATGCTAGATGTTGACCACAATGCTCAAATCGAACCGTTCCTTCACAAGGATATGGAAAACAGGTCCCAAGCACATCACTGTCCCCAAAAAAGCAAGTCAATTTATTTTTCATGTCAGTATAAAGAACATATATTAGAAACATTATAAACGAAGTCTCACTGCTCATGTGCCATACAACAGTTTTATACAGCACAGTGACATTAAACATTAAGAAATGTTCATGTAAGATTTCCCAGAGAAGTGGGTCCAGGACAAGGGCAGATTCTATGTTTTCTCCACTGATGTGATGAACTGGAACAGCAGCAGACAGCGCTGTCAGGATCTGGGTGGAGACCTGGTCATCATCAACAGCAGTGAGGAGCAGGTTTAGATATATAATATGATTATTAGAAAAATCTCATATGTGCATTGGATATAATAAATGAAGCATATTAAATTAATCTCTATTTCGTAGAAATTTCTAGCAAATCTAATACACGCTATTGGCGCACAAACATTATATTGGATTGGTCTGACTGATAGACACATGGAAGGTGTATGGCTGTGGGTGGACGACACCAAGTATCATCTTAAGCAAGTATTCATTTAAATGTCTGTTGATACATGCATCAGAAAATTCTGTTTGGAAGCCATTTAGATAAGTGCCTGTCTAAACATCTCATCAATTATTCATTCACTTGTTTTTAATGTATTAATTTTTTATTTGTCAGTTTCTGGGCACTGCCTCCTGATGATCACAAATCAGCTGACAATCCTCTGGGTGAAGATTGTGTTGTATTGAATGGACGAATGTTTGAGGCAAAGTGGGGAGATGTTTTTTGCTTGAGGGAGGAGAGAAGCATTTGTGAAATTCCATGTTGTTAATGAATATTTACTTGATAAAATGTCATGTACACATCCATAGGTAGTGAAATGTGCTTTCTGCAAGCCCCCATACAGTAATGTACAATAAAGATTATTAGGGATAGTTCACCCAAAAATGAAGATTCTGTCATTAATTACTTACTCTCACCTTTGTTCATCTTCGGAACACAAATTAAGATATTTCTGATGAAATCCGAGAGCTTGATAGCCCGTGACATCAGTGGTTCAACCGTAATTTGATCTGTAAATGTATTTCAACATTTGTTATTTCTGATATCTGAAAATGTATTTCTGATATCAATATAGTTTCTGATATCTAAAATGGCCTTCTTACTACAATCACATTCACGATATCAGAAATTAACATTGTCACTAGTGACAATCAAATTATTGATATCAAAAATTAAAATGTTATTATCAGTTCAATTGTTTATATCAAGAATAGCCATTTGCACTAGTAACAATGCAATTACTGATATCAAAAATCAAGGTTTTTACTAGTAAGAATTGTATTTCTGATATGTAAAATTAGAATTTCAACTAGATGAAATCAATTCTTGATATCAACAATTGAATTTGAGTGGCAGCCTGTGGTTACATTTAACTAGTGAAAATACAATTACAGATATCAAGAATTATATTTTTTACTAGTTGAAATTTAATTGTTGATATCAAGAATTTGTATTACTGCAAGTGATGCTGTCACTGTTGATATCAAGAATTAACATTTTTACTAGTAGAAATTCAATTCCTGATATCAAGAAGTAGCATTTTAAATAGTGAAAATTGAATTGTTGATATCAAGAATTCATATCCTGCTAATGAATTAAAGTCAAAACGACTTGCCATAAATACACATCAGAAAAAAAAAAAACTGTCAACAGTACAACATATCTGGAAAATCGGCCAGCATCATAACTAATAATGCTGACAGGAAATGCCATTCGGTTTGCATGAGCGTGTCTGTTTAGTGTGTCTTCACCCACAGTGTGACACCTGTTTAGTGTGACACCCACAGATCAGAGCACTTCACCACCTTTCTGCAGCACACTTCTCTATTTGACAATAATGGGCAAACATGACATGTCTGATCATATTTATGACAACACCAACTGGATGAAAAAGGATTCATTTGGAAGTAAGTGCTGGATTCTTTTTCTCACTGATAATAATGAATTATATTACATATATAGCCTATATATAGGCTAATGTTTTATCAGCTTTTTTTTATTTTTTTTTTTAAATACGACCGTTTCAAACCCACACAAAAAAAAGTTGGAGAACTGTGTAGGAGGTTTGTTGGTGCAAAGGACACGTGATGCTTTATTCTAATAAATTAAAGTCATTTAGAGCTTGCTTAAGTATTCGTTTTAAACTTTATTTTGTTTATTTTGTAGTTAGGAAATCTGCCAAAGAGAAGCAACGTAGACCTATCTGTGCCAAGGTTCTTGCTGTTCTCCTCATCCTGTCTCTGCTGGTTAATGGAGTGCTGGCATACTTGTGTGAGTATCCTCGGATTTTACAGGAACCGCCAACCAACTACATACAGTGGTATATTTACACTTCCTTTTACATTTTATGTCTTTTGCAGATGCCACTAAATACAAAAATGTGCTGTTGCATTGCGAGCCAGGAACAAACTGCTCAAATTCAGGTAAATCATTCACATCTATCTGCTTAAATTTTATATGATAATTAACTGACAGTATCTTTGTTTTTCTCAATTCCTCACACCCCTATTCAGACCATGATCAAGGTAGTCCGGGCTGCACATATGATGAGGACTGGAGGTCAATAAACTACTGCCCAGGTCAAACTATGTTTGGTTTTTCAGTAAAATATCAGTCTTGAGTGCTTGAGTCTGTGCTTTTGCTGATGTTCTTTCTGAGCCTTGCCGTATGTCTGTTCTTGTGTTTTTAACAGTGAGTCATACCAAAATATGATCGAAACACATTTATGTATGTAAAGGTGCAGTTGAGCAGGGTTTTTTTTTTCCAACCTTTAGATGTGTTTCTAGCTAAACCACAAGCCTGAAACGCAGACACACAAATGCGTTTCCTCTTTATAAACATAGAAAACTATCTCTGTAGATTTGCCAGAGCAGTGGTATAAGGGCATCGGCAGATTTTACGTTTTCTCCAGTCACAACAAGACCTGGAGCTCCAGCAGAAAGTATTGTCAGGATCTGGGTGGAGATCTGGTCATTATCAACAACACAGAGGAGAAGGTGTGTAACTTTGTGTTCTGCATGGTTTTAAAAGAGGAAGAAATGTACGAGAAGTGGGTCCAGGTGTGAAAACCCACAGTGTGTGTTCACAAATACAGTGTTGAGACAAGGGTAAAATAGTTACATGACATATTGTTCTTATAATAGATATTGTCGTTAATAAACACCATGCGCAAATCATTTTTGTAAGAAAGATTTCAAATTATAAATAGCATTATAAATAAAACCAATGTTTTTAAAAGAGGAGCAAACATGAGAGAAGTGAGTCCAGATGTGAAAACCCACAGTGTGCGTTCACAAATACAACACTTAAGCAAGTGTAATAATCACATCACATTTTGTTCTTATAATAGATATTTTTGATAAGCCAAACATAAGACTTTAATAATAAAGATTTCACTGATCATTAAAACATGTTTTTAAAAGAGGAACAAATGTGAGAGAAGTGGGTCCAGGTGTGAAAACCCACAGTGTGTTTTCACAAATAAAACACAGAGGGAAGTGTAAAATAGTCACATTACATATTGTTCTTATAATAAGCTTTTTATTGATAAAGAGCCATTTTATAATAAAGATTTATTTGAATATTATGAATTAATACAGAAGAGAATAAATGCAATCTATCGTGTTTGTGATGCAGGAATTTCTTGCTCAGAGACTGTGTGTTGCTGGTGAATCTGATCTCTACTGGGCTGGGAACAAGGATGGGAATCTGAATCCCAAAGACAACTGTGCTGTTCTTAAAGGAAATACACAAGAAAACAGTTATTGCTTAAGAGAAGAGAAGAGCATTTGTGAGATCCCATGCCTTCAATAAACCTACAGTATAGATTACTTATTTTTTACAGTTGATTTTTTGTTTTATTTCACTCATTTAAATATAAGAGGTTGCTACATTTGATATAATGTATTGTTTACTTGTTTTCACATTTCCATACTATGCCATGTTTGATATGGGAATCTACCAATATATCATACTTTTCATTGTTTTTCATGTTTTTCTTATTATTATAGTTTAAAAAAGTGTTTAGAACTATGAAGTTCTAATGACAATGTGTAACACACACACATACACATACATAAGTGTATAGTGTACAATTTATTTATTTTTTTGTGTTAATGCATTTTGTAGATAAAAGATCTAGCATAGGAATGAGAGCCATCAGCTATGGCATCTGCAGTAAAGGCTTTCACACCTGGCTCGTTGTTTCGGAACCTGGCGCATTTCCCCCCCTTAGCTCGGTTCGTTTGGGCATATGTGAAAACGGCAATCGCGCCCGGATCCGCGCCAAAACAATCGGTCCGAGATCGCCTGAACGAGGTGGTCTCGGCTCGATTGAAAACGAACTCTGGAGCGGTTCGGTTGTAGTGAGAAAGCAATAATGGACCAACGAACCAGGCTATATCACAATGTATAATGGGTAATTACGTAAGTTCTGTGAAAAGCATTAGCTTTGTTGTTTTGCTAATACTTCAACATGAACCTGTGAATGTCTGTGGGTGAGCACATCTTCGCCATTCAAAATAAAAAAGCGCACTTTTTAATTTTATAATGCCGTCTTATTGCTTTTCTTCCTAGTAGGTGCATTTTAAAAATGTTTTCCCGATGAATCCTGGACTCCTGCTCAAAATGATAAATTAATATAAGGACAGCTACAAAAAAAAATAAAATAAAGCTGTTGTCGTTCCATCCCGACGAAGTGGAATCCCGGAAAATAAACAGTTTACTCGCGCGTGACTTGTATTAACAAATTTGGTCCGTTTAGAAACTTTGCCGTGTGAAAGCGAACCGCACCAAGAATAAAAATCAACATTGTAATAATTTTAATCCCTGTTTCGGAACAAAGCAATCGATCTACAGGTGTGAAAGCACCCTAAAAGTGCGTTTGGACACTTTACCATGTTTGAATGTCTTTGCAGCACCGTCTGTGAACAGTAAGGTTCATTAAACAATATATTAGCACTAGGAAGTCAAGTAAATAATAACAAATTCCTA